CAAATTGTTCTGAGAAAGTAAGAATAAAATTAAAATTTGTATTCATTACTACTGAATCCCAAAACATTATTTCGTATTTTCAATGCAAATAAGGAACCCTAAGAAACCTGTTTTCCTACGACTAACAATGGGTTTATTATCTAATTCTAATGAGTGTAACAAAAATATGTACAGTAAATTTAACCAGTTTCTGGTGCCGAAAATAAGTCGACTCAAGCCTAATTTGCTCATATAAAAATGGATAGTAAAAAAGTTATAGGGTGTTAAAGTAGAAATTTTATAAGTGATTTTTTGCTTTTACTCTAAAACGGTTTAATATATTTTTATGAAAATATACATAGGATGTTAGTAAACAGTGACTAATAAAATGGAGTTAGTGGCGTTTAAAATTGTTTTAATTATATAGTATTTTAGAAGGGTTTTGTATTCCTTTGCCCCTCTATTTTTTTAGACAATGGAATTTACTTAAAAGAGGACACCACTGAAATGCTACATTTGTTTTGAATTTTTTTGCCGCTTAGTATTTGTTTGTAAAGGCCTTTATTACTGAGTTATGGGCATTAGAAGGAAGATCATAGTGAAATTGTAAAATGGTAAAAAATCGTGAACAAATATTCAATGGTTTAAGTTAAGATCAATAGAAAACATTCATTGTATTTTTCACTATACTTTTCTTCGGGGGCCTATAACTCAGTAATTAAGGCTTTTACAAACAAATATTAAGGGGCAAAACATAACAAATGTATCATTTCAGTGATGTCATGTTTTTAAGTAAATTCCATTTTCTAATGAAAGTAGGAGATCAAAGGGGTGCCGAACCATTCTATAAACCCATATAAATAAAAAAAAAATTAAATGCGAAACTCCATTTTATTGCTCATTGTGTAGTAACATCTCATGTACATTATCATAAAAATAGGTTAAGCCGTTTTAGAGTACGAGCCCAAAATCACTTCTAAGATTTCTACTTTAACACCCTGTAACTTTTTTACTATCCATTTTTTATACAAGCAAATTAGCTTAAATCGATTTATTTTCAACCGCAGAAACTGTGGTTAAATTTACTGTACATCTTTTTGTTACATTCTGTATATTTACACACTATATCCAAATATTTACATATACCCTGCGAATTCTTTTCAGAGACAGGTTGCTTAAAAAAAGAATCATAGAAATCGGACAAGGTGGTAAAGAATTATCGCTAAACATACATAAAAAATGAAGAGTGAGGATTTTCTAATGGACCCTATTATTAGATATTGACCAATACGGGACCACCCCTGAAGTACCCCCTTTCTAACAAAAAAAGAATCGTTGAAATCGGACACCGTGTTAAAGAATTATCGCTGAAAATACATATATAAAAAAAAAATACGATGAATTGAGAACCTCCTCATTTTTTGAAGTCTGTTAAAAATTACTAAATACAAATCTTAAGTGACTGTTATGATTAAAAAATTCATCGATTCTTTCATTTCTGTAATTTTTTTTTTACATTAAAGGGAATAGGTATTTTTCATTTTTAATAAAAATTTAATGGCATATATTCGAGGAAAAGGGTTTAGTCAGGATGATATTGCGGACCAACGATGAAAAACTACTAGACTAATCCATTTATTTCTAATTATGTACTTATTTATTGCAAGTATTCAGATTGTGTTTTGTATCAGGCAGACAGAGCTGTCACATCAGATGTCACAGAATGACCGAGATGGCTGTCAATTTGAGTTTGCAAGAATTTATTTATCTGTTATCTGGCACACGTTTTATGAATGAATCAGTAATTATGGCTACGATTCTTGCTTTACACTGCTGTCACACTTAAATAAATTGCATACTTTCCTGGAAATCGACTTTAACTTTGTGTTAGTTGTTACGAAAAAAAGTCATTAAATTGATAATAACTGGCATTAGGAATGGACATATACTTCCTTAATGTAATTTTAAAAGCCTTTGTGCGTTTTAGAGTCTTATGTCAATTCCGAATTATAACAAACAATCCTTGTAACAAGACTCTTCCATACTCTCATATTAATTTGACAACTACGTGGATGACACTGTGAATGTTTGCAATTCGATTTTTGAAAACATGATTAGTCTAGTAGTTGTTCGTCATTGTTGCCGACAGATTTAATGTAAACAAGGCGAATTATTCAATCCAATATTTTTGATCAAAACATATATTTTGAGCTAGAATTGACATCAAATCTATTCTCATTTCATATCTGTGCGGTCAGCATGTATATAGATGGTCAAATTTTTATACTACACTGTATCTAGGGTTTCTGAGATCTATAGCAGTGGCAACTGTACAAACATTATTTTTTAACTTCTAAATGATTTTTTTTTTACCAAAACATAAAATATTTTAGCATGGAACCGATTTGGAAATAGATGAATCAATAATTATTCAACAAGTAAGTAGTACATCTCATCCAAAAATCGAACCATTGGATACAGACGTAGCAAATTTTGATCTAACAACGTATTTAAATGACACAGAAACACTTCCAGAAAACTTTTGTTCTAATATACCTTGTAAAAAAATTAAAGCAGGGATTAAAAAAATAGATTTAGAAGCACAAAGATATATAATAGATGAAGAGGATGATGTAGATGTAGAAGATGATGTAGATGTAGAAACTATTTCAGAATGTGAAACTTCGCCTGTTCTGGAAGCTAAAGACCTTAACAGTCTTTTGGAACAATTTGAAGCTACACAAATTCCTGAATTGCCCAGTAACTTTATTGAAGAGAATGCTAGGGTAGACGAATTAAATCCTGAGAAAATTTCAAAAAATTTAATAAATGAAATATTAGATGAACCTGTTAAGATAAAATTAGAAACAGAAGAAATAGATATTGTGATACATGATTTAATGGATAAGAAAGAAATTATAAATGATCATGAATATGGCATTGGTAAAAGGAAAGAGCACAAGGATAAAAAGGATAGAAAAATTGATAAAAATATCAAAATAGAAGACAAAAATAATTTAAATATAGAAGATTCAAATAAAATAGGTAATAATTTTGGTTTCATATTAAAATGTCATTGTATTTTTAAGTTTACGCATGATATACAAAGTAGGGTATATTTCCAGTTAACTTTAATGGTATGATTTTTATCTTGAGTATTAAAATTTAAAACATACCAATTAAAATCAAATTTCCTTTGGCTTTCCCAGGACTAAGATTATTTTTAAATTTCCAAGTAATATAAAAGGACTAAGATTATTTTTAAATTTCCAAGTAATATAAAAGGGTAAACGAATCATAAAAATCAATTTACACATTAAATTTCAGAAAAGTATAGCTTTCTTCTTTATATTAAGCAATATATAAATCGTATCAATTTCTTTAAGGATTTTTTTACCTAATACTTATTGCATGTACCATATACCTAATATACCAAACAAAGCAATATTATTTAACTTAATGACATAAAATGTGTAATTACTATTTAGGTTGGTTGTTTAGTAGATTGGTACTTCTGAAGAAATTCATAAATTTATGTAGTTTATGTTGTTTTACTTTACAGATAGATATCTATGACTTCATGAATTAGTTCATGTAGAAATTGTCAGATGTAAAGTGCATATTACAGCTTTTCTGGGCATTTTGTGGTTACTTGAGAATAATAAATCAATCTGATACATTTTGATTTGATGAAAATAAATATTAATGAATTGCTATTAACAAAGTAATTAAATAATACCAACAATAAAAATATTTTTTCTTTTTATTTTGAATGTCTTATGTTAATGATCCAAAGCCTATTTAACAGTAATAAAGATGCTAAAATTTGATGATAATTGCATATTTTTCATTCTGTATTATATGTTAAAAAGTTTATTCTCAAGCTGAAACCTCAGATGAAATGTGTTAAGAGTTATTCATTCAAATTTTAATTCTTAACACCTTTGTAAATATAATTTTGTTGCATTCAGATTTACCAAGGTGAATGTAATAAAATTAAAACATGCATTTGAAATCTATTTAAATTGTCAAATAATAATTTGACGATTTTTTCAGAAATACCTCAAATTAACAAAAAAGACAACAATTCTTCTACTTCCAATTTAAAAGAATCCACAACTAAGGATGAAAATTCTGACACCTCATTATCGCAAAATAACTCTTCGAAATCAAGCCAACCCATGAAAACATCGAATCATCCTTCAAGTCCAACAATTTCACTCACCGAATCAACTACCTCTCTTACACCTAACAAACAAATATTGGATTCTCTGCCTCGAGAATTAATTGCTCGTATCAAAGAATCTGGTAAAAGGAAACCTATATCTGTGATACCCCCGATCCCAGCCAAAAAACGTGGTGGGCCCCGAATGCAGGAAATGGCCCAATTGAACAGGAACAAGATAACCAAATTGGTCACGATGGAAACTGTCCAGTTAGATCATGACTATTGTAGTTTTGGTGCTAGAGATGAAACTTATCCCAAGAATCCTAAGAAAGATTCAGGTTTTGAGTCAGCTGAAGAAGACGATAGAACTATTATTGGAAAACAGCCTACCGTTAAGAATGCTGATGGGAAACTTATGGTATCTCTGCTCAAGGTTTGTGTGATAAAAAACGACATTTTGCAGTTTTTAATATATATTTTTTTAAAAGTGTTTTCCACTTTTCATCTCATCTTTCGTCAATAAATTTATATTAGCATAATACATTATTAAGGACAGGGTGTCCTCTTGTATAACAACCGTATGTGTAGACCAAAAGATAAATTGACTGATTTCCGATTATATAATAATTAAAAATCGAACTTTCAGCAAATTTGAAGATAAAGGTCTAACTAGGACATCTTACTATTGAAAATTGATAAATTTATTATTTTCAATAAAAACCGATCATTTAAATAATCCAATTATATTTCATCTTAAAGGTGCCCACTAACAGTATTTTATCCTTGATATCAAACAAGAAAAATGAATAGTAATAAATTTGTCTACATCAGGGCTGTCTTTAGTGTCTGTGTGTGGTGTTTATTGTTTCCTTGGATTACGTTTTGGTGGTGCTCGCTGCCCCTGTAATTCGCAGGGTGATCTCCACATAAAGCACAATTAACACGGGTCTGTTCTATGCAGAGATAACAGGAGATGAACTACAAACAAATATTGTGATGCCATGCACAAAACATATTCTAAGGGACACAAAAGGTACAATATCCGTTATTGTCATGCCCATTTAATTATTCTCGTTTTGTTTACAATAATATTTACATATCTTAAAAAGCTGAAATAATTCAACCTGTTTTATTGCCACTGAACCCGAAAATTTTTAAATCAATATAGTCTGAATAAAAGAGGTCACGGCATATAAAATGTTATATATGTACTTCATGGATTAAATTTTGAATGAAAAAAGTTTTATTATTTACAAAAAATAAAAATAAACCTAGTGACTCCTTTAATCGACTGTGATAGGATGCATTATCCAAAACAATAACGGAGTTGGCTGGAATTTTTTTTATAATATTTTTAAACCAATTTTCAAACAGGGCCATCCTTCTATTTCTTCATGATAGTCTTTCGTTTTCTTTGACTCGAACATTAATAAACCTTCTGGCAAAAATCCATCGGTGTTTCCATGTGGGTTATTATTAAACGATTTCCTTTTTCTGTTGGCTTTTTTAATCCACACGAGACCCCTTCCATAAAGGATCGTTTTTTAGTTTTTAAGGAGGTATTTTACTAATTTTTTGTTACTGTATGTCCAGCATTAATCCATGTTTCAACTTAATAAAATACCTGTTTATGCTGATTCCTTGCGTCCGTTAATTTCCTTAAATAATCATGTCTCCACGCAATGATTTCGTCTTTCTCTGTTAAAAAGCTGTTTCTGTCACGTTTTATGTAACGAAAATTTAATTCATGTAATATTTTTTGCATATGAAAATACGATATATTTGGAAGAGTACTATTTCTGAGTCTAATTTTTTAAGTGTAGGAATTTCATTTCGGAAGAAAAAAGAATGTATCATTTGCCTTATTACATTCTTTACCCAAGTTTCAATAAAGGTCTTCTTTCTTCCTGGGGACTCTTACGGATGTGAGACTTCTCCAATAACTGTATCTTCTTTAATAATGTTATACACTGTCCTCTTAGATACTCCAGTATAGGTCTCACATTTAGTGTCTGTTTCATCCACGGAAAGTAAAACAAAGTATTTTCGATGATTATTAAATACATTAAGTACGATATTTTTTTCTTCTAAAGATAATGCTTTATGTCCACTAGGTCGTTTATGCATACTAGTGCTTGCAATATTTTGTAATGCACTGCCCATTTTATTAACTGAAAAACGGCTATGAATAAATAAAGTCTGACTTACCTGTAAAAAAAAAAGTTTATTACAGTCAAAACCATGGAAACATGATTAAATCTAAACGGAAACTTTTATTAGGCCGATCAGATTAGTTGTAATAATTTCAATGAAATCTAAAACCTAGTTAATGTTAAATTGGATATTAAGTATTTTCTACTAGATTTGGCAACATGGCTTGCATTTTTTAGGTGAGACCGTACTACTTTGTGTAACCAGGGTTTACAAAAATTCATTGATAAAATTGATTTGGCATTTGACGTTATATCTGATTGTGTATTATTGTTCGTTTTTTCTTGTAAAAGTGCTTTTCTAGTGTTTTGGTATAATACAGACTTTAAAACATGATGAAACAGTGTAGGATTTGTATAAATCTGGATAAATTAGACCCAAATTCTTCATTTTATATGTACATAACTATTTTATAGGTTTGAATTAATCTACCATAGACATATATTACGTAAAATATCTTATTTTTTTTTTAAATAATTAGTATTATTAGTGTTTTGAATCAACTATGGTTGACAAATCGGGAGAAGATGAGAAATTCCAAAATTGGTTCTGGAAATCAAAGAATGTTCCTAAATGTCAACGCAATCTTATGTAAAAATCGAATTTGTGCAAAAATTCTGCAATTCTGTATTAAAAGACTTTAAAACAGGTTTTCAAATGTTTTAATTTAATTGAGGTGTTGCCTTAAAGTTTCGGTAATGTTATTCGGCAATTTTTTTTATTTTATTCCCTAGTTAGGTACTTATAATGAAAGTTTATTGAAGAAAAAATGGATTAATTCACTCCGACTATATATTTGAAATCAGATCATCTTTCAGAAAGGCGCAGATAAAACAAAAACATTTAGAATGAGAATCAAAATATAATTTTTGCACCAAAAATTCAAAGTTATATAAATTATACAAAAAAACTAGGCAACTAAGATTCTAGATAATAGTTCTTTGAAAAAAAGGTTCTTTGTTTCCATGGATAAATATTTTATTAAAACAGCAATATTTATCACAAAATTCAAAATACATTTTTTTAGATCTTTAAAATCAAGAGAATCCGCGGATACGCATTATTCTATCAAAACAGCAAAAACAATATTTACAAATAATTCAGAACATTAGTAACAATTTAATAAACATTAATCATTCAGGAACAAATCTTTTACATGTCATTTTTAGCTATTGTATTCAGGTAGAATTTCCCTAAACTTAGCTTGTTTGCTGAAATAATACTTAAAACCTAATTTAATAGAAATACTCTCTTAAGACTATAATTTATTTCACATTTATGAAGATTATTTACCTAGGTCCCCAAAATGCATATTGATTACCTGCTCAGAATTCTAATTTTGTTTTAATATAGAAAATAGGATTTAAAAAATTCCAGGAAGGAGGGCAATTGAGAATTTGAAGTAATCTCATTGTTAATTCATGAATAATGAATTATTGCTTTCTTGGAAATACCAAGAGATTATACATTGGTACTGATATTTTTCTGAATTATTGAACATGGAATTAGAAAGTATATTACATTCCTATTAATAGGGGAGCCCAAGCGGGGTTTTCGGGATTTACTAAAGCGCGGCAGATTAATATACAGGGGGATACCTTGTACCCGGTTAAGTACCTCCACTAAATATGAGCCCCATATACAGTATGTTCCCCTAGGTTGGAATCATATGAAAAACTTTTATTAATTTTAGGAAAAAAAGTTATTCATCATAAAAACCTATCTAAAACCTAGAATACAGTCATCAAATATCAAATTTTTTCAGTGGTATACGAGGTTTGTCAAAAAATATGAGTTTTACTCAAGAGTAAAGTACCTTTATTCTTTATACGACTGATAAAATTTAATATTTGATAGTTGTATTTTATGTTTTAGACTATGCTCGACTTTTATAAATAACTCTTTTTTCCTAAAATTAATAATAAAAAAAATTTTCATATGCCGCCAATTTACGTAGACAGTTGGTGGCATATGTGAAAAAATGTCAATTTTATGGAAGGAGATGATTTTAAATGTCGCCGATATTTTTGTAAAATTTTTAAAATGAAATTTGAAAGAATATTACATTATTATTTTCTGAGTTTTATGGCATGGCACCTCTTAGATTTTTGTAAAAAAAAATGATTTAAATTTATCATTCATTCTTTAATTATCTTCAATTTTTTATTTAGGTAACTTTTGTACCGGCGGGCGGCTGGCCCGATTCAACACAGGTACATATCAGAAACAAACAAAATCATCGTCTGCATAAAGGTGCATTTATTGTCTTCTAAATTTATATATAGTTGATACATTAAAAACTTGACGAATTTTAATTTTGCAGAAAAAATATTTGTACTACTGCTCGATATACAGGGAGTAACAAAAAGAGTAAATTTAACCACAGTTCTGGGGTCAAAATAAGTCGATTTAAGTTAACTGGTTTATATAAAAAATGGATAGTAAAAAAGTTACATGGTGTTAAAGTAGAAATTTTAGGAATGGTAAATATACAATGACCAATAACATGAAGTTAATTGTTTTAATTCTATAAGTTTTTAGAAGGGTTCCGCATCCATTTAACCCTCTACTTCTTTAGACAATAAAATTCAGTTAAAAACAGGACGCCACTGAAATCCTACATGTTTGTTTTGATTTTTTTTGGCTTTTAGTATTTATTTGTGAAATCTTAATTACTGAAAAAGGATAATTTCCTGACCTTAGTAGAATTTTATATAAATAAAAAGTTATTTGGTTTATTCGGTCGTTTTTAGTGTTTTTATAAAATTTAAGTACAGGCACTACATATGTTTCGGAAATACTGTTCTGGTGCCAGTCAATATTTAATAAAATATGGGGACGATTACAAACATGTTAAAACAACACGATGTAAAACAAACAAATACCAAGTAACAAAAAAATTCGCAGCATACGTAGTATTTCAGTGGCGTCCTCGGTTTAACTGAATTTCATTGTCTAAAAAATTAGGGGGTCAAAGAGGTTCAGAACCTATATAATTAAAACACTTCTAAAATTTCTACTTTAACACCCTGTACGTTTTTTACTATCCATTTTTCATGTAAGTAAGTTAGTTTAAATCGGCCTATTTTCGACCCCAGAAACTGGTTAAATTTACTTTACATCTTTTTGTTATATCTATATTAATTATAAAATACAAAACCTTTCACGGGATTAAATAATACTTTACATTATTTAGGTTTAAATATATCAAAATTATAGTCCAAACAAGATTTTGGAGAGTGGCGTCAAATTTAGAAGGGATGCCGTACGCCACTGGCAAAGTTTTTTTAACTGATTTTTTGCTGATAGGTGCGTTTTATGACACCAAAAAGTTTGCTCAATATAATTTTATAAAAAATCCAAAATTGAAAAATAAATTATAATGAAAAATGTTTACCTCATTTCCAAAACATCAAAAAATTTAAAAGTATTGTCTAAATAAGTTTTTGGATAGTGGCGTAAAAATTTAGAGGGTATAAAGGTGTTACTACAGGTCACTGGCAAAGTTTATTTAATAGGTTGTTTTGCTGATAGGTGTATCCTATATAACACCAAAAATGTTTACCGAATTTAGTAAAATTATACTGAGAAATAAAATTATAGCTATTAATAACTTTTGAATTTTCAACTTTAATACCCTGTGTTTCGGAAACCAGTAATATTTTATCTAAATATGTTTCGTTAAATCGTCTTATTTTTGATCAGAGAATCTTCAGTTGTTCGGAGTCTCATTCTTAATGTTGTTCTTGGGGGGTTATATAATATGTATTATTCTATTTTGAAGCCCAATTATTTTGTGACATCCTTGTTGTTTGGGCCGATTCCAGATCGACACAGAATAAGTTAAGAGGTTTCTTGGTGATTATGCAAATATCTTATGATTACTCTGTATTTTCTCTCTTGTTTTAGTTCATCTGTGTGATGATATATTTTTCTTTAAAATCTCGAACTAATTTTCTGTATGTTTCTGAAGTTTCACAATTTATTTTCACGACATTGTTGGCTAAGCTTCTTGTGTAGTACTATTGTTCCTTTTCCTTTCCTTTTATCATCTCATTATAGTTCAATACCTCATAAACAAATAATATTGGAGGTTTTAGTATATTTGGAGTTGCAGTATTTTCGATATAGATATTCCTGCGTCTTTTGGCAGAGGATCATATCGTTTTCATTTGCGATGTATTTTGTTCTGTTCTTTGTATTTTTTTCTTCTTTTTGTGCTTATCTCTTACCAATCGTGTTGGCTGTTTCCCTGTTGTTCTTCCACTGGTTGGTAGATGTCATTCTTTGTAAATTGTCTCCTCCGTTTTTGCTTTTTTACTGGTGTAATGACGTGATTGTAAGATATTTGTATTGTTATTTGTTGACTGAATTATGGTTGCATATTTAAGAATAAAGGTGGAGTTGGATGCAACTTAGTTTGTGAAATTTGAAAGATGGATGACCCTGTATAACATTTGATTGTTTGTGAATTGCAACCTGAAGAAAACATGTTTTATTTATTTTTGGCTCTTATGACTATTCTTTATGATAAGAAAGTCAAACTACTACTAGAAACTAAATAAGGACTTAATAAAAGTTGTTATACAACAGATAACTCTGAAAATTTTAAAATAGTGCCCATTAGGTTAGATTTGGTTAGTACTGGGCCATGATGCCTGCCCCATCTCCACCTTTTCAGATCTATTGTGGATATCCTTTAATCATAGCTAGTTGCCCTTGGTTTTTCTTCTCCAAATGTAAGGAATCTTAGTCTTGATAGACTTTCGCTATAGCACAATATGTGCACTGCAGTTTCCTCCTCTTTCTGATAGATTCGGCACAAGGTCTCCTCTGCCAGGCCGATGTTATACATGTTTGTTATACCTACTATAACCTGTTAATAGGCTTACTAGTACTTTAGTTATTTTCCTATACTGACTTAGTAGAAGCTCGGTGAATTTTGGCGATGGTATTTTTTCACAAATTTACAAAATTTATTTTTTTTTACAAATTTACATATTTATTACAAATTACAAATTTATTAAAATCACAATTTATTATTAGGTATAATATTCAATTTATTTTTAAGAACTCTCTGGTCTGTTTGTCCTGGTGAATTGTTACATCTTTCCTGAGACTTGTTTAACATTTGCACTGCGTTGTGCATGTTCTGATGGATGTCTTCATTGCTCTTATGCCTTCTGTGGCCTGGTACCCAGGCATCTAAACAGTCTCACACAAGCTTTGAATGTACTTGCATGGGACTGAGTGCTTTTAACTTCGCCTGATTCTGGGTTTTGACAATGATTTTTCCATTTACCTTATGCATTAACACCTCATTTGTGCAGTGATGTATTGCTGTTTTTCTGCCTGGAATACTGTGACATATTTTCCTAAGCTCAATGAGTTTTTTGTCTTTGGCTTAGCACATTATGATTCAGTTATTCTGCTCTTTTCAAATATGTATGGCAGATTCTACAATTGATAGCCCTTAAACATTTTTTTTCCTTTTAAATATGCATATTGATTTTAAATATTCTATTCCCCTTGGTATGAAGTATAATATAATGCCAATATCGCCTTTCATGATAATAATAATTGTCACCTATTTGCTTTTTTGTGCGATGTAACACCCCATTTACAAAAACTATATTGCGAATACACCATCATATGATGTGAAATAAAAAGATAAAGTTTATAGATAATGTTTATTTAAAATTTTATATTGTATGTTTTGTCCTTAGATTTTTTTAAATTGTATGTTTTGTCCTTAGATTTTTTAAATTGTAATATTGACAGTGTCAGAAGATGAAAACATTCTATTTTCTGAAACATATGTAGTGTTTAGTAAAGTTAAACTTGTTTTTGGCTGATTTAACCAAAAAACTTTTATGTACATACAGGGTGGGCCACCGGTAACGCAACGGGCCAAAACTATTTGATTTTTTTAAATCTGTTTTTACAGCGAGATGTATATCAGAAAAGGCAACAATTTAAAAATAAAATCAATTATTCTCCAAAGTTAGTTTTTTTTTTAATTGGGACACTCTGTATTTTATTTTATGTTTGAATTGCCTTCACTTTTCCCATTATAACAATACAAAATAGTATGAGATTATACAGGGTATTGCCCACACTATAACCAGTTTTATATGAAAATCGTATTGATTTCAATGGCCTGTTAACTCCAAAAGAAACGATTCAAACCAATTTTTGGTTTGGTTTGGATATTAGTCAAAATTTTATACCGATGTACTGGGTCCCGGGACATAACGGGGTACAGGGTAACGAGATTGCAGATAGTCTTGCAAGGAAAAGGGCTCAAACAGCCTTTGTAGGACCTGGGCCGTTCTGCGGTATCAGCAGTAACATAATATTAGGAGAGATTAAAAAAGAATTGGACAGTAGAAGAACCGATGATTGGAACAATCTCTTGGGGCTGAGACAGGCTAAGATACTTCTGGGTGAATATAACCAGAAAAGGTCGGAAGCCTGCATCTGCCTGAGCAAGAACAGGCTACATATTTTAACAGGGATCCTTACCGGGCATTACCGACTAAAAGGACACCTTAGTAAACTGAGAGTAGTAGAGGATAGTAAGTGCAGATTCTGTGAGGAGAACGAAACCTCCATTCACATTCTAACTGAATGTGTAGCACTCCAGAATCCAAGGGCACTATACATAGGAGGATATCAAATAGAAGAGGGAGATTTACCTAACTTAAAGCCACTCCAAATCCTACACTTCCTTGAGAAGATAGGATTGGAAGGGTCGTTATAGGCATTAAGACATTTCCTTGGTGCATTAACGACAAACGGGACACAATAGATCTTTTAGGTCGCAGTGTATTAACACCCCATTCCCAACATAACAACATGTCGATGCACTACTTTTTCAATTAAAAACAAATCTGTACAGAGTGAGTCAAAACTCAAATACAATATTTTCTCTTTTTTTTTTTGTTAAATTGACCGCCTTGTATTTCATATCGCCCTTTAAAAGTAGCTTATTTAAAGTTTAATTTGAGTTAAGCATTCCCTATACCTAAAGTTAATAATTTTGGTAAATTTTTAAATTTTAATGAGAAAAAGGATCATTCACAAAATACTCTAATTTTAACTGGTTACTGGTTTATAGAAAATAGACTGTTAATTGGTAATTGGAATTTAAATACCTATAATTTTTTATGGACTGAATAAGTTTTTGACATTACCTAATGCGATTTTTTTCAGTAGAAAAATAAAAATTAGCAATCGAAAACTTCACATAATACCTACTTTATTTTAAGTTTATAACAGATTTCATTTAACAAAGGTCCAACTCGGATTTCTAAGCATTTCTTAAGTAAAACTTGAAATACTTCTCTTATTTTCGACTTTAAAAAAAAATACGTTAGTACTAATGAGCTGTTAGTATTGGGGTTTCAAAGTCAACTTAAAAATATAATAAATTTAGAATTAAGTTGGTATTATAATGGAGTGAGTCTATGATTAGTTGCTATTAGTATTTATTTTTAAATGAACGTTCAAGTCCAATTAGAAATTGTCAAAAACTTATTCAGTCGATAATAAATTATAGCTGGTTAAATTCTAATTACTATTTAACAAACCGTCTTATTTCCTATTAATCAGTAACCAGTTAAAATTATTAAAGTATTTTGTTAATTATCATTTTTCTCATTAAAATTTAAAAATTTTCCAAAATTATTAACTTTAGGTATCGGGAATGCTTAACTCAAATGAAACTTTAAATAAGGTATTTTTAAATGGCGATCAATTTTAATTTTTAAATTAAAAAAAAAAAATTAGAAAATTATGTATTTGAGTTTTGACTCACTCTGTGCAGATTTGTTTTGAATTGAAAAAGTAGTGTATCGGCATATAATTTTGACTAATATACAAAACATTTTAAAACAAAAAAATTGGTTTTCAATCGTTTCTTTTGCAGTTAACAGGTCACTGAAATCAATACGATTTTCACATAAAACTGGTTATAGCCTGCACAATCCTAAATAAAGCGGTATAATTATTTATAAGAATGATATTATTCCACTAATATTTTACCTGCTAGTACAACGAACAAAATTTTTTCAGGTCAACACAATATTCACGCCCAATATTAGCCAACAAAAGAAAAAACTGAACTTAGAAGAATACAAAAAACGTCGTGAAGGTTTCCTAACATCTCAGAACAATTCTCAGAATTCGTCTCCAATTAACAGCACATGTAGCTCTCCGTTGCCTGAAGATGAGAACACGAAACTTTTGAAACATCAGGAAAAATTGATGAGAATGGCTAAGGAAGTATTAAATACCCCTCCGAAAGGGGAAAAAAAACCTGAGCCGGCCTTGGTTATAACACCTCCCGTTCAACTACAAGTACCTCATGATATGGAAATGAAGACTTTAGTTAGTATAGGAGTTAATACAGATTTTAAAGTAAGTAAATGCTTTTAGGATGAACATTTTATTTTATATTTTTTTTTATGTTTTGGACTCGTTTATTGACATACGAGTCTAACATTTTTTATTACATTACATTCATTTAATTTAAATCTTATAGATAACAGATTCTCAGTCACCAGTATAAGTAGTGCAGGTATTTTAGTCACTCGGTAGACACAGACTTATAAAATAATTATAAGAGTGAAATCTAGTTC